ATATATATATATATATATATATATATAAAATCAAGTTTTTATATCTTATATGATGTAGGATAATTCAACACTAATCAAGGGTGGTTCGACAGTATTAAAAATGACATGTACCTTAGGCCCCTAAATTTAAGGGGCCTCATTTTTAAAAATAATAGGTTATAAATTATTACTTTTTAACAAATATTGAATATTGTTTGTAGAAAAAAGTAATCTTTTCATGAAAAATTAAGGAATTATTAGAAGAAATTTGACATATTTGGAGTACTATATCTCACGAAAACTAATTTAAAATAAAAATGGTTATATTATCAATTGAAAACTAGAAGAAACTAGTTACATAAAAATTATTAACAATTCAAATTTAAGGCCCCGTTTAATTATTACTTAGGCTACTAAAATGCTTAAGTCGCTCTTGACACTAATTTAAATTAAAATTAATTACACTAAACATTATGTAATGACTCAATTTTAGATATACACCCTATAATTTAAAATCAAACACTTAATATAAACATTTAAAAATAAGTACTTATAAATATTTTTTTAATTTATTAAAAACACGATAAAATTATTTAACTTAAAAACACTTAAAATATATCTATCAAATATTTGAATTTAAAATACAAAAAAGTCTATCTAAGTTATAGTATATGGATTTTTAATTTACTTAAACCATTTGAATTTATGGGTCTATATGAAAAAAAAAACATTTACTTCCCAATTATCTTTTTTTTTTTGCATCAACATCATTATCACCTTTTAATTATTATTTTTTTAATCCACATATTTCTACAATAAAAAATAGCCCAAAAATCTGGAAAAAAATCAGATAGAATTACTCAACAAAAAATGGTGAAATTGATTCTATTTGTGAATTTGATTTTGATTTTTATCATTTCTGTAAATTCTCAAATTCCATATGGATTCTGGTACAGCGGCGATGGCGAAATCGATTTAACAAAATCAATAGTAATCGAAGCTTTTTTAGATCCAGTTTGCCCAGACAGTAGAGATTCATGGCCGCCTCTGAAAAAAGCTCTGCATCACTACGGTTCTCGTGTTTCTCTTGTTGTTCATACTTTTCCTTTGCCGTAAGTATTCGATTTTGTGATTTTCGTTACTAGAATTAGGGTTTTTTTTTTGGATGATTATAATGCTGTTTAGAGTAGAAATCCCCAATAGAATATGTTTGGGTTAACGCTTGGTAGATGAATCTATTCGGAGCTGGATTTATTAGTATAAAAAATGATAAAAAAAATATATTGAAGTATATGAACTAGTAGGTTTTTATTTTTTTTTCTATATAGCTAACTATTTATCAAAATACATTTTTAACTATTAGTTGTTCGTTTTTTTTTCTATTTGAATGATAGTTGAGATGAGAAAAGGGATAATTGATAGTTGAGGTGTGTTTTGATGAATAGTTCGTGATAGTTTAGGTGGGAGAAGTGTACGTTTCGTAGTTCAGGTAGGAAACTAGCAAAGAGATGATACGTGAGGTGTGTTTTTGATCGTTAGCTCGTTTACAGAATGATGATAGTTTAGAGGTTTTTTTCGAACCTATTCGAGTATTCATAGGTGAAGCAGACAAATTAATAGCTAAACTTTCGTGCAATTTTTTGATAGCCGTGTAAGGAGATTGCATCAAGCGTTATGATTACGCTATTGCATTTGCTTGATCACTGTGTATTCAGTGTTGTTTGTTCTTCTATAGCTTTTAGGGTTGGATGGTTGGTATGTGTAGGACTATGAAAATTTCAGCTGGTTTTCACGTTCAGCATATGGAATTTGAGTTATAATTGACATGTTTTTCTTTTTTTTTTGGCTTGTTTGTCGTAATATATGCAGTTACCATGACAATGCATATACTACCTCGCGCGCGTTGCACATTGTCAATAAGTTGAATTCTTCTGCCACATACAGATTACTAGAGGCTTTCTTTGATCAGCAGGTAACAAGTTTTTCTGGTGTACAATCTACAAAAGCATGATACATAAACAAACACTCAAATTTGGCCTTAGCTGACAATCCGAGCACTCCAACTTTGAGAGTGCACATCTAGATAACTCAACTTGTTCTCAACTGGTAACTTAACACTCCCAACTCATCTCTATTGTGTCTTTTGGGAGGAGTCGTAATGATTATTTTATAAGTAGGAGTGTTCAACTGACACATTGGAGACGAGTTAAGGTGTCTAGATGAGCAAACTTAAAGTTGGAGTGTTTACTTGCCACCTAAGGTCAAGTTTGAGTGTCAGTTTACGTATTATGCCATCTGCAAATGTCATATATGATTGAAAAAACTTTGAAAACCTTACTACTAGGTAACCTTCAAATTATGGTTCGGTGGATCTTTATTTCTTTTAAAGCAATTGCAACAATCTGTTTTATTCATAGGCATCTCATATAATGGCGTGAGATAATTGTTCTCTGTTTCGTTTAGTAACCTTCAACTGTTAAACTGTTTTCCAAAATCTGCCTACGGAGCCTTCCCCGGGGGTTAGTGTGCCTTGTGAATCACTTCAGTTGGGCAAGAACTGAACCATGATACAGTTTACTACACGTAGCCTTTGAAAACATTCCTCTGTTACAAATTATGGTAATAGGCATATTTGTATACATTTCGTTATAATTGTGCCTGATTGAACAGGACAAGTTTTATAACCATGCGACGTTCAACTTGTCCAAAGCATCTGTTGTAGATGAAGTCGCAAAATTTACATCAAATGAAATTGGGAATTCGAATTACGCTGCTATAAAGGCTGGATTTTCTGACCCCAAAACTGATCAAGCAACAAGAATTTCCTTCAAGGTATGTTAATTAAGCTCAATTACCCTATATATACATCGTGCATACATATCGTTCATCAATACCGAAACTTACATTTGTGTATATGTATATTTTTTCATAGTATGGTTGTAAGAAAGGCGTATATGGGGCACCTTTTTTCTTCGTAAACGGGTTTCTTCTACCTGATGGTGGCTCACCATTGGACTACAAAACATGGAGAGATGTCCTTGATCCATTGATTCCACCTGAAGAACAATCAAGGACTGAAAATTTGAATTTCTTCTTGTGAATCTGCACTCATTATCACCTAAGGTTCTGAGCTAGAGAGACAAATTAAACCCAATAGTTCTTATGTGTAGTTATATAATGAAGTTTATTACTTCTATATCTTATGGTTTTCCTTTAGCGTCTATCAAAAACAGCCTGTCTATCGTTGGGAATAGGGGTAAGGGTCTATATTATAATCTACCCTCTCTAGACATGACTTTGTGTAACTACATTAGGTATGTTATTGTTGTTCTTATATATCTTATGGTTATGGAAATGAAAATACTAATTTGATGGTGAAAGTTATTTTCTGTCTAATTAATCAAAGTATAAATGTTATTGAACACCAAATGATTGTGGAGAATGAATATTTAATCTACGACTTCGTTTATGCAGTAGATAAGGTATGGACCTCAGTATAATAATATAAGAAAGATTTAAATTATATACACTGACACAGTAACAATCCTTACGGGCTTATGCCCGAGTTACGAGATCGAATCAGGCTTATATATACTCGATAGAGTTACCAACATGTGGTGCCAATTGGAGTCGGACCAGAAGCTCGTATGGGATTTTTCCAAAATAATAAAAAAGGTAGAAAAGGTAAATTTTCAAGAACATCGGAGAAAATGTAATCAGAAGTTCGCGGGTTTGAGTAGTGAAAAAGAATTCTTATAGAAATACAAGGTAAAACTATGCATATAATAGATCCTCATGAAAGCCTGCACATATATAGAACTTAGTGCATTGGCCTTCACTTTTTTGTTTTTTTAAGAGAAGTATTGAGAATATTTCTAAACTCTGGATGAATTATTAGTTTCTGATCGAACTATTGACAATCTTTACTTGACTAACTAAATTTAAATACACTCCGATCTTGCAACTTGAGTGAAATACATCTCGATCTTGCAACTTGAGTGAAATACACCTCGATCTTGCAACTTGAGTGAAATACACCCCAAAATTCTAGCCAAGTTTAGGAGTGTTCTCAATACTTTTTTAGGATTTTCATTAAGAAGTCTATGCTCCTACCAGGGTTTGAGACCACTCGCTACGTCATGTATCAAATCTGGAGTGTATCTAAGTTTAGTTAATCAAGTAAATAAATATTTTTAAAGATTGTCAACAGTTGAGAGACAAAATTAATAATTTACGTCAAGTTCAGCATTCTCAATAATTTTTTAAAAATAGGAGCAAGAAGGTCAAGCAAAGGATATATAATGCCAAAGGACTTCTATGACCAATAAATGCCTTCATGTATGTGAACCATAGGGTGGTTAAACTTCACATTTTAGTGTCTAGTTATTATCCTCACTTTCAAAAGTTGAGCAAAAAGAGGTTATTATGGGTCAAATACAAGCACCACTTCGAGGCCAAACAATATTGAGATGTAGAAAGTTTTGACAGAATCAATGGTTTTGAGTGTACATGATTGGGTTGGTTCAGGTTTTTTAAATATCAAATCAAATTATTTATGTCAAAATATTAAATTTATAAATCAAATCAAACCAATAAAACTCAGGTTTTTCAACGTCATTTTTTTTTGGATTTTTTTTGGGGGGGGGGGGTCTTTAAATTTTCAAATTTTTTGGATAAAGTATTCACACAAACATACAATTTTGCCTGTACTTCAAATATTCCTTTAGTCCTATCAAAATATAACTATCTAAGTTGTTTCAAATTTGAATCAAAATATGAATAATTTATCATATGTTGAGGTTCATATTTTGATTCAAATTTGAAATTCTTCTTGTGCGTATTCTCAATTGTGCATTATATAGATAGATTAATAATTAAATTTAGATAGAAAGTATCCACTGGGAATATTGTCAATTGTCCATTATACAAAATACCATCAATGAATACAATAAATTTCAACACTTTTGATACAAAATATATATAAATTATAATTTTGAATTTATAATTTTTAAATTTTTAACATATTTAGTGATAAAAACCTAAATATCAGATCGAGCAAATTTATAATGTTAAGTAACATCTTTTTATAATGAAACATTCCTCCTCTGCATTTTATGGTGCCGCTTTAAAGGTGCCAAAAGATATTTGTGAATTGTGGCTAACTAAAGAGGAACATTATTGGGTATTTTAGAAATGTGGTGGCATTACTCATTTTGGAAGATTTATAAATACCATATTTGGAAATAATAGTACTCTCTTCGTTTTAATTTATTTTTCCTAATTCGATTTGATATAAAATTTAAGAAAATATAAAAAAGATTTTTTAAATATTTTATCACGTAAGACTATATTTAAAGGAAAACGTTCTCTACCAATGATTTTTCATATTCAAATTTAAATTTAAAAATCCTCTAATTTTTTTTAAAAAAAAGCAATTTCATCGACTGCACTGTATTCTTTAATGATTATCTCACCACTTTATTTGATGCTTTGTCATTTAGCAATATAATGTCACAACCTTTTTGTTAAAAAGTAAATTAATTGAATTAGCTAATGCTTTTACTTTCTTCTTTACTTTTTTGGTTTTTACCCAAATAAATTTTTGCTCTGTTTGAATTATTTTTCCCCCCTAATTTTGAGAAGCATCCTTGACATGCTATAGACACAAAAAGGTGAAGGGGTCAGCCATATCACAAGACTTGAAAGAACAAATCAAGAAGTGGTATTTGGGGTCTATGCCTAACCCCCACCACTAGTGGTGGTTCAATAATCACTTTCCTAGCTTTGTTTTTTATCAGACGTAATATATAAATATATCATTTTATTTGAGTTCAATTGATATATGTGTTATGTAATTAGTTTTTAACGTTCACGAGTAGATAATTAAACTTATATGAAGATGAATTAATAGACACGTGAGTGTCCTACATAACAATTTCACATCTTATGTAGCATATGATGTATACTTAATCAATTTTATACATATTTAGTGTCTGCTTGTGTACATACAAAGTTGAAGAGTCAAATTAAAGGACACATTTATGTATATATCATTTGATTATTTCAATTTTGTATGTTTAACTTTAAATTATATTGGTGTATTTTTTTAAGGAAAAATTGTATATATAATAGCAAATTATAAATTCAAATTAAATGTCAGAATCACAGTTTGATTTAATTATAACCCGTAGCAAACTGTCGTTATTTGTCTCTCATACTAGGATTCTCGCTCGCCACTCTCGTCAGTCTCTCCCTCACCTCTCTCGCTTTTATACAAACACAAATGTATAAAATGAATTTGTGTTTATATAAAGCGAGAGGAAATTGTGTGTGTGTGTGTGTGTATATATCATATCTCGTTCGCCACTCTCCCAGATCTCGATCGCCACTCTCAGTTTATACAAACACAAATGTATGCATTGTGTTTGTATAAAGCGAGAGAAAATTGAGTATACAAATACAAATATCTTACACACTTATGATTATACAAATACAGATCTTCTCCTGACTAGTTTTCTTTTGTCTTTCTCTCTTTTCTCACTTTCTACAAATACAGATTATACAATCGTATATGTATATCGAACCCATTATATAATTGCTTCTTCGTATATGTACAACAAAATATACATATTAATTGCCATAACAGACATAAAGTTCGTTATAGAGCTCAATTATGCAAACTATAATTATAACATACGAATTGATTTTTATGTTTACTATATATTAATGTTGCTTTTTAAAAAATTGGTCTTTCACGCTTTACTATATTTTTTTAATTTTTTTTTGATATTTGGTGATTGAAGCTTAAAGATATTATATAGTGTTTGAAGTTAAAGTTAAAAATATAATAATCAAACGTTGAAATTACGTTTGTACATGAAAAATGTCTCATAAAAGTTAAAATGTTGCAAGTAAATAAAGATAATTTTATTATCAATATTGTCTGTTTAACCAGGATTTACATGTACTGAAGTTCAACATTTGGATTTTGATTTTTCATTTTCTATTTATTCTTGCTTTTAATTTAATTATCAAACTTATCAACGAATGAATAAAGATATTCAACAAGGCTCACTTATCTAAATATTAATATATTCTATCTAACTCCTATTTTGTAGTTGTTGCACAACTACTTATTTACGTAGAAGCTATGATAGCATTCAAATTCTTTTTTATTCGATGATTCGATCTATGATTTAATTTATCATTCATGAACATTGATAGTACTCATTCATTTAGCAGTACCTTAAAAAGGCATAACCTTAAAAATGAAGAGCGAGGTTCAAATGAGGAAAGATGGATCCTAGGCATCCAACAAAGGAAGGGCATAGTAATCGATGAAATACTTCGGATAGTTAAAAATAAGAATAGATCCAGAGATTTCTTTATAGGACAATTTTTCGAATCGTTGCTGAATTCTTAGGCAGGATAACCTAAATATTATCCTTAACTAGAAATTTTAAATCCGAATTCTGAAAAGATTTTTTATTTTTTAAAATAAAAAAGTGTTTTCTCTACATAGGTCCCTAACTAGTCAAGCCACTATGTTATGTATACTAATTATTTTTTAAAAAAAAATCACTATCAAAAATGAAAAACCAAGAAATTGGAGGATTGAGTTCTTACTTCAATTTCCAAATTTCTTCCAAAAGGAATAAAAGTTTAACATAGTAAACGATGAAGAGAAGACTTAAAAAGAAATTGAACGACCAAGAGAAGACTAAAAAGGAAAAAAAAATAAAATACTAAAAAAAAAAAAGAAAAGTTAAAGATAGAAAACAAAAGCAAGCTAATTAGCCACTAATTTATTTTTTTAAAAAAAATAAATAGTGGCAAATACATGGTAATTGACACTTTGCTTCCATACGAAATTTTAGATTGATAGATTAATGCAGATAATTATGTATAATGATGGACTTTTTTAAGAATATAAAATAATTTTAAAATATTTTAAACTAACTTTTCTTAAAAAATGTAATTAATTTGTAATGAGAATAAACAAAAGGCTAATATACAGACGTTTTTTTTGGATTGTTTTTTTTTTAAAAAAAGGTAAATCTTTTTTGATTTAAGCTCGTTGTATACTACAATTCACTGCAACAAAAATAACTTTTAGCGGTAATAAATATTGATATTAATAAAGAGTGTTGAAGTCTTTAAAGACATTAGTTAAGTGTTATTAGAACAAATATCACTAAAGATTTTAGGAACATATATAAAAAAAATATTTAATTATCGTTAAAAATAGATATTTAGAATTAATTGCCACTGGTGATCATTTTTAATGTAGTGAGGGTACGAGTAATTATTTGCATCACGAACATGGTTAATCCATCAGCATATTATTAAAAGTGGTAAAATTAGCCCATAAAAATTATAA